CGGGGGAGGGGCGGGGGCGGGAGCCCCGCCTCCACCTGCGCTACCCTCACCCCCTCACGGGGATGGATGGGGGAAACTGAGGCTAGGGTTAGCAGGCAGAGTCAAGGTCAGTCAGGCACCCCCGAGACCTTGGAAACGCGCTCAGACTTGGTTTCCCAGGGGAAACTGAGGCCAAGGACGCACCCAAGGTCACCAAGCACAGCCCGCCGGCCCCTGCCTCCGCGTGCGCTGCAGCCCAGGCCCTGGTCCACTCTGGGGCTCCCTCCGCGGTCTCTAGGACACCACGGACGGGGCAACCGCTGGACGCTAACCCCTTTCTCGGCTCAAGGGGCCAGATTCCATAATAAAAGTGTGCTCCCGGAGGCCACCTGGCTCTGTTGCTTTCCCCATCTTCGCTACAGAAACCTATGAATATGTGTGGGAAGAAGTGAGATCATTCTAGGATCTAAGTTCAGTCCTTCTCCAAGCTCTGCTTGTGGGGAAACCGAGGCACAGGAAAGCAGCAAAAGCATAATAACTAGAACCTCCTGTGGCTGCTTGCGACCTCATTCCCAAAAGGTGCCTGTCAGTGTAGTAAATGCTCCCAGGGGATCCAGGCTCAGCACTGCCTCTGCACTCCCCCCGCCCCGCCCCTCTCTATCCACTTTACTCAGGCCTCAGCTACATTCTACCCTCCAGCTCTGGGGAGACATTGGCTCCTGGAGGGTCCTAAGCTGTGACCTGAGCCAGGTGACACCAGATCTGGCTCTAGATGTCCACCAGCTTCACAGAATGGGGAGGACTGTATAATGGGGGGGGGGGCAATGGGGAAGCAATACAGGGGAAGGATAGCTGGGAATTGGTGGGAAGACAATTTTCACGCAGTGGACTCTTGGGGCCTTCTTGTGCACCCTCTGGGCTCCCTAGATTCTCCTGTCCTTCCCCAATCCCGTTTCCCTTGACCTGCCTGAGTTCATCTATAAATCCCCTGACCCCTCTTAGACTCTTCTGATGCTTCTGGGTCCCCTCCAGACTTCTTTAGATCTTCTTAGTCCTTCCTAGGTTCTCCTGAACCCTCTGGTCCTTTATGGTTCCTCAAAGTCCCTCCAGCCTTTACCATTTCTTGCCTGAATGTCATAGGATGGAGATGTGCCTTGTGCTGCTTACAGTAGGTGTTCATGGTGGCAGGGGTGAGCCCTGCCAGCTGCATGTCCTCATCTGACACAGATGGGCTGCCCCGACCCTGAGGACTCCAGAGACGCCCCTGCCACCCCTCTGGCCTCTACTTTTGAACATCAGAGTCGACAGTGCCAGGCTGTGGCCCGCCCCAGGGCACATGCCTGTTCCAGATGGAGGGGGATCTTTTATGTTCACCCTGGGAAGATGTCAGCTGGGCAGGTCGCCAGAGCCCCAGGGCTTGTGGCCGAATGCAGGGGAGGAGGCAGCTCAGCAGCAGGCTGTCAGAGGCCCTGCTATACTAGGAGATGGCTCTGCCAGTTCAGGGGTCACAGAGAGTGCTAGGACTCAGGGATCTTGGCCTGTATCTGCACTTGGGGGTCTTGTTGATCTGCTGTGAATCTGCAATGAATGGGAGCTAGACCTGGCTGCTGGTTCTCCCCACACCCATCCTCACACCTGCCCAAGGGGTACCTGGCTCAGGGCCATAGTCTCATGTGTGTGTGCAAATGCGTGTGTGTACAAGCCAGAGGTCAATCTTCATTCCTCAGGAGGTGTTCACCTTTTTCAACTATCTAGCTACTTTGTTTTTTGATATATTTATTTTATTTTATGTACATGCATGTATGTGTACCACATGCGAGCAGGGGCCTTAATGGAGCCAGAAGACGGTGTTGGCTCCCTTGGAACTGATGTTACTTGGAACTATGGATTGTTTGCCACCACATGGTTGCTGGGAACCAAACCCAGGGTCCCCCGCAAGAATAATAAATGCTCTTAAAGCATTCAGCCTTCTTTACTCTAGTTTCTCTGCAAATTGTTTTATGCCAGGTATAGTGGCCCTTGTTTGTAACACCAGCCCTTGATAGGCAAGTAGATCTCTGAATTTGAGGCCAACCTGATCTACATGGTGAATTGCAAACCAATTAGCGCCACTTGGTGAGACCCTGCCAATCAATCAATGTCTGAGTGTAGTTGTGCACACCTTTAATTTCATCTCAACCCCATAAGCCCCCCCCCCCCCGCATACACACTACTAGCTCATCACCTTTTGGAAAACAAGTTGATGACCCTAGGAATCTGATCATTTGTTCCGAGGGTTTCTGTCAGCCTTCTCTCATCGCGCTCATCCTCAACCCCTCTGCCCACCCTCCAAGCAGTAACCAGTCATTTCCTATTTAGGACTCCTGGTTGTTTTGAATGGAGACAGAACTAGGCCAGGGAAGGGGTGGGACTGTAGGGAAGCTGGTCCCAGCAGCAATCAGCAACCAAAGTTGAACTCCTTGGCTGGCAGGATCTGGATAGTGGGTTTTCAGGCCTGAAGGGCAAGGCTCAGGAAAGGTTTGACTCTCCAGGTTCTGATCCACACAGCCTGGGTGTCCATTGCACATCTCCCTGGGGTCTGATTCCCCAGCAACTGCATATTAAATGGGGGAGGGGTACTCTGTGTTTTACTTTGGCCTCCTCCTGATCCTCAGTCTACTTCCAGAGGGCTGAGACGACAGGCATGCACTGCCACGCCAGCCTTGCCGAGGTGCTCCTCCTGCAGACACCACGGATGTGGAGTCGCTGGTTCATAAGGAGGCCTCATTTCTGATGGACTTCATGGAGTAACAACCTTTACCTCAGTTCCGCTACCCTGCTTGACCTCCCTTGATGTTCCTTCCTTTGGGTTCCTCCACATGATGTAGTCCAGGCAGGGCAGTCTGGCTCCTGCCCCACCAGCATTGAATCCTTATAGGCTACGGTTGGGCAGAAGAGGTGAACCAGGAACTGGAGAGGAATTGGCAGCCCCGTCTGCCTGGAGAAGTGAGCAACCAGCTGCTGGGCCCCTGTGGGGTCAGCTGTCAATAAGCCTTTGTTTTCCCAAGGCCTGGGCACCGTCTCTGCCTGCCAGTTGGGGACTGGTATCCTTGTGACCCTGTGGTTTCCAGGAAGGACCCCAGAGGCCAACTTGAGATTATTGTGAATGTTTGACAGATCATCCTGTGCCCGTCTCCTCTGAACCTGAGCCTGCACTATTCCGGGCCGAGGGACGCTAAGTTTTAGTTATTTGGACAAGAACCTGGATGATGTGGGGTATGTCCCCTGGAATACTGCTTTGAAGGTGAGCCCTCAGTAAGCTTCATTTTCTAAACTCTCACTGTGCCGTTTTTTTCTGGATCTAAGTTCCACAGGCTTAGGGCCCCAGGGGAAGAGAGCACAAGGAGAGGGGTTGCACCTGCAGTTGGGGGCTTGTTTCAGAAAGAACCCCAGGCACACCATAGGCAAGCAGTGCTGAGTGGATATTCTGGGCTTCTAATGTCCATTTGCACAGGCAGAGCGGACTCTGCCCTGGGGAGGTAGTATCCTGTTTTCCTAAGGGACACACTGCAGACATCCCAGCTATCTTTATTTGAATGGTTCCAGGGACATGGCGCAGCGCCCTCTGGTGGCTGGAAGGCAGACATCCAGTTCCAATTTTATCTGTGGTTCTCTGAAAGGCCTACCAGTCCCCAAGAAACCCAGCTTTCCCTGAAGGCCACTACTCTAGGTCGCACTCTGGTGGGACCAAAGCTGGCTGCAGGGTCCCATCTCTCTGGAGCCAAACTACACAATAACACCCTACATACACACCTGTCCTGACCCCTGCCCAAAACTTAGGTGTGAAAGCCAGCTTGGTTTGAAACTACCTCTCCATCCTGTGGATCCAGCAAGTACCCAGGACCCGCCCATCTCCCACAACCCATCACTTCTTAGAAAGTGGGTGTCCAACAGCTGGATCAGTACTAGGCCAGAGGGCAGCACAGGATGCCAGTGTAGTCAACAGCACCCTCAAGAGGTCAGCTTTTCTCAGATACCCTAGGGCAGTGTGGCTCTCACCTCTGTGCAAGTGAAAGGCCCTTTCACAGGGGCGGTGTATCAGATAGCCACACTTTGATTCAAAACAGTAGCAAAATCACTTAAGAAGAAGCAATGAGGGGCTGGAGAGATGGCTCAGCGGTTAAGAGCACTGACTGCTCTCCCAGAGGTCCTGAGTTCACTTCCCAGTAACCACGTGGTGGCTCACAACCACCTATGAGAGATGGTGCCCTCTTCTGGCCTGCAGGCAGGATACTATATAAATAATGAAAATTTTATGGCTGAGGTCACCACGAGGCACTGCCCTAGGAACGACACCCTTCACCGTCTACATTCTAAGCACTGACCAACCACATCCCTCTCCAGTCCCTGATGGCAACCCTCTCTCCCATTATGATGGGCTCTTGGAAGCCCACATAGTGAACACACACATGGCGGGGTAGGTCTTTATTTGTGGGGTCCCAGCAGGCCCAGCCATGCTGTCCATGGTGGGGATGGGCTGTCCCATACAGGGACCAGGTAGTCTCCCTCCACCAAGAAATCAGAGCTTACCCTGTCTCTCCCTCATGGCCAAGGGCAAGGCCCCATCCCCCACTACACAGG